GGGACAGGGGACAATAAGCACTTGGGTCACCTTCGTTGCTTTCCTGGATCTGAAGTGGTACAGCCAGGACTTGAACTGATGCCTGTATGGGATGCCAGTGTTGCTAAGCTGCAGTGCTGGTCTCTGTGATGACAGTTTGCCCCTGAATACTTTAGCCTCGATTTCCTAAGAACAAGGCCGTTTTCCTGTGTAACTGCACAATGTAATTATCCAGGCGGTTACCTCTCAGAGACTGCTTGCCGTATCACCACGCGTCTTAACCATTGCTGCCTGCGGGCTCTGTCCCAAGGATTATCCGTTACATTGTTCCGTTGCTTTGTCTGTAGTGACTACTAATGTACAACAGGGCTTTTTCTTCCTTTTTATAACATTAATAATTTTGAGGAATCCAGTTTTGAAGAATAATTCCCACTTGGAATTTGTAGTTTTTCTTATAATGCAAGTCTAAGCTGTTTTTTTTTTAAAGGGAATATTATAAAAGTGTTTTTTTGGGGGGGAGGTGAGGTAGCACCTGAGATATTTCTAAATAATGTCCCATGTATTTTTTGAACAATTTTAAATTTTATTTTATTTTGAAAGTGTGTCTAGAGAGAGTGAGTGACAGAGGGAAAAAAAATATTCTCTGTTGATTCATTCCCTCCCAAACGCCCATAACAGCTCAAACCAGATCAGCCGCCACCTCCACGAGGGGGAGCCCCAGTCTGCTTAGGGCTCCCATGTGTCCGGGACCAAGGCCTGGAGCCTTGCTGGCCTCTAGGCTGTGCAGGCTCGCAGGACGCTGAGGTTCCACGTGAATGTGGGACCTGAACCCCGGTTCGCAGAAACAGGCTGTGTGTTCATGTAGTGTTGGTTTCCCCAGACGCCCACTTCTACACTGCAGTTGTGATAAAAGATAATAAAAACTTCTCTGAGGTTTGTTTGCGCTGTCTGAATCATTTCTAAGATTGAGCCTATGTTTATGCCTACCTGAAAGCACACTTTCGAACTACTGAGGTAATTTTATTTTATAAAGCAGCTGGTGTTTGAGTTTTGAAAGAGCTTGCTATGACTATCTAAGCCAGATCTGTGATTAAGTTACAGCTAGATATTAGCGTACAAAGTGGAAGTCATGCCAGTGTTCAGTTTTTTTAACATGCAGAAGCACTTGAGTGAATAAAGGAGAGCCACCCGCACACTGCAGGCAGCCACATCTGCATCTTTCTGCTGACCATGGGTAAAGGACATGACCACTTAAAACTAACTTTTCTCTTTAAGGGTTCCTGAAATTGTGCCAGCTGACTCCAGGTCCACCCTGACCCCACAGCATAAAGCATGCTGTGCTATCACAGCTACCATAGAACTCCAGGGTAGTGTTGAGCTGGCCCATGTGGGCTCAGGTAAGTCCTGGCTTTTTTTTTTACCATTTGGCATTCTTTTCAAAGTTAGTTACCATTACGATTTTATGTCATAAAGGAAAAATAAGGCAAAACTTTGAAAACTGTGCCATATATGGGGGAAAAATAAGTCTGTTTTCTAAACATTTATGAGCCAGCTCCATATTCTATCCAACGGAGTTCCATAGTAGCTGTGAAGTCCCCAGTGACTTACTGACTTGCGGCTTCAGGATGTTTAACCCTGAGCCCTGGCCCAGCCTAGAGCACACTGTGCTGCCGCTGCTGCTGCTGTTCACTTCAGAGTGAAGGATAAATGCGTGGCTTTCACGTGCTTCTCGATCTGCATGTTGAGCTAACTGTTCCATTCAGTTTTGCGTATTTGATTATACTATGGGTTAGATTGATGTTCATCTTCCTTGAGTGCCTTCAGCTGTTAACTTGATAGCGTGAAGGAAGAAGGGGCGTAATGTGTAATACATGTTTATTAAACTTTCATAAAAGGATTAAGAAGATGATGATGCTCCATTTACTCCTGAGACATCTGGGAGTCAGCAGTTCTAGGTTGTTCTTCTGGAACTTGACCATCTGCTTTCTGACCACTGTTCCATGAAGTGAGATTTTTGTACTCACATTCACTTGCTATCCTTGCCTCCCTTGTTCTTTCCTTCTATTGCTTGATATTGAAGGTACTCAGAATGTATGTGTCTGTGAGTCTCCCCCACCCCACACACTCCTTGGTGTTTTCCAGTCCCACCCAGGTAGGAAACATCAGGTGATAAAAATTTTAAATTCTGTGTCAGTAAGTGTGTAGCATATGCTGAGCAGCCTGCTGTTTGCACATCATTAGCAGTGCTCCCTGAGCACGGGGTAACGAGGATGCACCAGAGAGCTGGCAGCTTCAGGACAGCCACAGGAAACTTCATTTGTAAAAGGTGACTAGACCCAGCTATCCCGCTCCTAGGAATATACCCAATAGAAGTGAAGTCTGCATATGAGAAGGGGATCTGTGATCCTATATTTGCAGCAGCGCAATCCACAATAGCAAAGACATGGAAACAATCCAAATGTGTGTCCAAAGAAGAGTGGTTAAAGAAACTGTGGTACATCTCCTCCATGGAATAGTATTCAGCTATTAAGAAGAATGAAATTATACTATTTACAACTAGGTGGTCCCAACTAGAGACCATTATGCTCAGTGAGATGAGTCAATCACAAAAGAACAAAAACCATTTGTTCTCTTTTAAATAAGGAAACCAGCATGTAAAGTGTACCCATGTTGTCAATGTGGAAGAAACTCCTGGCTCCTGGCTTTGGATCGGCTTGGCTCGGCTCAGCTCCAGCTGTTGCAGCCACTTGGGGAGTGAAGTAGCTGACAGAAGATCTTTCTGTCTCTCCTCTCTTTAAATCTGCCTTTCCAATGAAAATAAATTTAAAAAATAAAAAATACACTGAATGTCTTTAGCTGGTATAAAAATCTTTTACCTAACAGTAATTTTTCTGACTTAGAAACACTTAGAATTACTTAGAAACACTTAAAATGATCTTTTTAAGTTTTTATTTTTATTACAAAATCAAATATACACAGAGGAGGAGAGACAGAGAGGAAGATCTTCTATCCGATCATTCACTCCCTGAGTGAGCGCAATGGTTAGAGCTGCACCAATCCGAAGCCAGGAGCCAGGAACTTCTTCTAGGTCTCCCACACAAGTGCAGGGTCCCAAGGCTTTGGGCTGTCCTCGATTGCTTTCCCAGGCCACAAGCAGGGAGCTGGATGGGAAGTGGAGCTGTCGGGATTAGAACCAGCGCCCATATGGGATCCTGGCGCATTCAAGGCGAGGACTTTAGCTGCTAGGCCACGCCGTTGTGCCTGGCCCAGGAACACTTAAAATTATTTGATTTTATTTTCTTTCTTTTTTTTTTTTTTTAAAGATTTATTTTTATTATTTTTTCATTGGAAAGGCGGATATACAGAGAGGAGAGACAGAGAGGAAGATCTTCCGTCCGATGATTCACTCCCCAAGTGAGCGCAACGGCCGATGCTATGCCGATCTGAAGCCAGGAGCCTCCCCCGGGTCTCCCACGCGGGTACAGGATCCCAAAGCTTTGGGCTGTCCTCGACTGCTTTCCCGGGCCACAGGCAGGGAGCTGGATGGGAAGTGGAGCTGTCGGGATTAGAACCAGCGCCCATATGGGATCCTGGCACATTCAAGGCGAGGACTTTAGCTGCTAGGCCACGCCGCCGTGCCTGGCCCAGGAACACTTAAAATTATTTGATTTTATTTTCAAAAGAGCACTGTGGTCAGTTGGAAGTCAGGAGTGTTTATGGTTCAGGTTGTAACTACTGCTTAGAAAATAGAAGTACTGATTTCTGACATAACTTAGGAACACTTAAAATGATCTTTTTAAGGTTTTATTTTTTATTTTTATTGCAAAATCAAATATACAGAGAGGAGGAGAGACAGAGATTTCTACTGATTTCCATTTTCTAAGCAATAGTTACAACATAACCATAAATACTCCTGACTGTTGTTTTTAGTTTCATGGTTAAGATGTCTGGGAGGGAGCGCCTGGGTTTGTGTCAGGCTCCTGCTGCTGCTTGAGCTTTCTGCCCCTGCTGGCCTTCAGAGGGGGAGGCTCAGGGAGGGGAGACTTGGACTGGGTCCCTGGATCTGGCCTGCTGCGTACCTCGCTGTTTCACACCGTTGATATGAACCAGGATGTGAGAGCTCTCCCTGTGCCTTTACGCCCAGAAATAGTTACACAGATCTGTTCAGTCTATGGAAATGGAAGGTTTTTGTTTTTGCTTCATGATGGTTCAACGTTGTGTTGAACATTAACGTTTCCTGATGGATGTTGGGAAGACTTGGCTATGATACATTATCACCTGATTTTATGTACAGGAAAAATGGTTCTAGTCCCTAGCCAGTTGTTACAAGGCTGCAGAAAATAAAAAGCTCGGTATTTATTTTTTATTATTTTTTTAAAGATTTATTTTATTTTTATTACAAAATCAGATATACAGAGAGGAAGATCTTCCGTCCGATGATTCACTCTCTGAGTGCAGTGGCTGGTGCTATGCCGATCCAAAGCCAGGATCCAGGAGCCAGGAACAACCTCCAGGTCTCCCACACTGGTGCAGGGTCCCAAGGCTTTGGGCCGTCCTCGACTGCCTTCCCGGGCCACAAGCAGGGAGCTGGATGGCAAGTGGGGCTGCCGGGATTAGAACCGTTGCCCATATGGGATCCCGGCGCATTCAAGGCCAGGTCTTTAGCTGCTAGGCTACTGCACCGGGCACAAGTTCCCTCTGTTTTTAATAGTCAGAAAGTGTACCCTGGTGCGTGTTGCTTGCTCATGCTCTATAGCTCTTCCATCCAGTGAACTTACTGGCAGTTTTCTAGATTTCACCAAAGGCTGAAGCCAGCACTGCTGATTAGCTAAGTACCCAAGTAGGCAATTTAGTTCTGGACAGAAATCTTGGGATTTTGGGAGCAGTAAACTAATTTTCTTAGATTTTGGGGCGGTTGAGTGGTATGTCGAGCTTCAGCGAACCTGAGGAAATACGGGTTCGCAGCGAGTGCTTTGGAGGAAAGCAGAGCTGAACGCCTCCTGTCTTGGCGCTCGTTGCAGGGGTCGTGGAAGGCGATTTAGCTGCCATAGAAGCATACAAGTCGTCGGGAGGCGATATTGCACGCCAGCTCACTGCGGATGAAGTGCGCTTGCTCAACCGTCCTTCTGCCTTTGACGTGGGCTACACCCTGGTCCACCTGGCCATACGCTTCCAGAGGCAGGACATGCTGGCCCTGCTGCTCACAGAGGTGAGTGCGATGTTTTGAATCGGTGTTTTTTTCTTATGTTGAGAAAAAATGTTCTTTAGTTGTCATTTTAATGTGATAAATAAGCTATTTGATTTTCACCACATAGTTTTTAAATGTTTTTGATTTTTAAAAGAAATTTATTTTTGATATTTACATAGTTGAGTAGGAATGTTTTTGATTCTTACAACTCCTTTTGAGCCCATTGTTCTTAAGGATATTTTCAAACAAAATAGTTTGTTACATATTTGAGTCATCATATTAGAAAAAAGAAATCGGGGTGTCTGAGTCATTAAAGTAAGCAATGCTTTGTTTCTACATTCTGGAGAAAATATTAAATACATATTAATTCAGAGTTAAAAAATGTCTATTAATGTATCTGGATGTTTCACTTATATTTCACAGGCTACTTCCTCAATTTTTTAGTGTGTTATGCTCTTAGAAATGCTGTAGGAATTTCTTTACTTTTCTATAGACACGCTCTAATTAAAAACATACTAGTTTCCACCTTAAAAACAAACAAACAAACAAACAAAAAGAAATGCCTTGTTAGTGCTGCTGCTTGCCAGGGACTGTGCTGGGAGGAGTGGCTGGGAAGATGCTGGCTCTTCACTCTGTGGGTGTCAGGTGGATGGCTCTGCTGAACGTGTGGTGATGGAGAGCTCGGGCAGTGCAGGCATTGAGGAAACACAGGTTTGAAAACGGTGTTTTCTGTTATGTCGAGTAGGCAGTACTTCCGTTGTGATCTGAAAAAAAAAGGGTTAACCACGTGAAGTTGAGGCGGAGAGCGGCACTGAGGCAAGCACTCATGCAGGGTCAGTGTAGCGTCTGTGGTGGTGTGAAGGGACTGGCTCAGTGTGGTCGAGCTGGTGACTGTAAAGTGATAGAAGGGAGAAGAGACCAATAGGGTCAGATTCTGAAGGATCTCGTATGTCAAGGAATTGAGAGATTGATCCAGGGCATTGGCCCATGTCAGGTGCCAGGAGGAGAATGATGGGCAGATTTTGTCTGGCTGTGGCACATGGCAATGGCCACTCCTGGTCCCAAGGGTCCTGAAATGCTGCTGGCAAGAACTCAGCCAAGAGGATAGTTGCTGGCCATGGTATGACAGGAAAGGGCTGATCGGGCTGGGAGACTTGCGGGGATGCAGTCTGTCCTAAAAAGTGGGTAGATTGGATATGGAGAAGAACAGTAATAAGGAGTCAAGTTAATTCTGGGTGTTTGGCCTTAGATAACTAGCAGTTTGCATATGTTAGAGGTTGCAGATAATTCATTCACGCAACTGAATTAACATCCAGGTCTTTTTTGCTTTTTGATGGTTAGAGGAGGAATGGATTAAATATGCAGAGAGGCAGATCCATTACATTGAAGTTTTGTATTTAGGATATATACATATAGTGCAGTGTGTAGGGGCTTAAGAATGTTGGATGAAAATGTGATTGAGATGGATAGCGATTGTGTTCACTTTAAGTTTCCAGTGAAATGGGGGGTCGGGATGAGGAGTGACCTGATAGGCTAGGGGAACATTGTGATGGAAAAAAGGTCAGGTTCACTGAACATTGGGCAGGAGGGGCACTACTGGAAAAAGGAGCAGAAATTTTGGAACATGAGCTAGAGCATTTCGGAGGAATTCCTGTAGTGTGTAAGGTCTGGCTGCAAATGTGTGGTGATGTCCAGTCATGCTGTGACGGGCTTTCTGCCTGCAGTGTGATGCTGTAATAGGTGATGTCCTTGTGTTAAATTTTGCCTTCGGGTCTGTTCCAATATCTTAGGATTGCAGGACACAAGACTGCCCTTTTGGTGAACATCTTAGGAGGAGGAGATGTGGGAGATTACCCCTGGGTCTCTGCCTGTTAGCTGGTTGGTGTGGCTCACAGCTCACCTGCCCATGACCCAAGACACTGCTTCCCTGACGTGACTGGAGGATCTAGGGGAGTAGTGTGCCTTCTAGCCAGTTACAGTGTCATTTCTGGGTGGGTGGACTGTTGAGAGACACCCTCCAGCCCTCACCTTCTCTAGCCTTTATAAGCTTGTAATCTGTGCACAGTAAACGGGGATCACCACACCAGACTGTCCCCTAGGCTCACCCTTGGTGGCCTCAGGGCCCTGAGAGGAGGGACTGTCACTGTGGAGCTGTAAAACTGGTTTTTCATGTTTTGAGTGTTGCTTTAAATTTGGGCTCATGGAATTAAGATGTAGTGACAATTTCCTGGTATTTCTGGCTAAATGAAGTCTAGCAAAACTGAATTATCATGTAGAAGTCCCCCCCCCCCCACTCCCCGCCCCCAAGAAGGAGTAGGTGGCTGCCTTGGTTATGCAGGAATTTTGAAGCATTGTTTCTGTGAAGAGAATGTAGGTGGTTAAGGTGTAAAACGTGTTTGAAGGACTAACTGCCATGGCCTGCTGCTTCTGTCCCACTTGAGCCTGGAAGGCTGCTGGGGGGAAGGTCCTCTGGGCACCCCTACTGCCCTGACGGACTGGACTTGGAAGCTGGTCCCGTGTTTAAATTTGGAGAGGCCAAGTTTGTTTTTACAGATTCATAGTGGTAACAAGGGGTTGGGCCAGGGAGGACTGTGGCCAGTGGGCGCTGGCCTTTGAAATGTCACACTTGGCTTATTACAAGACTCGTGGGAGAACAGTAGTTGCCAATTTCTCAGCTAAAATTGTTATTTAAGAATGTTATCAAGTTCATTATGATTAGCTTATTTTATTCTCTTTCCTCCTTCTCTGATATTTTCTATGAAAATACTTTTATGTACATTATTATTTGCATCTTTGAGAATTTTCTTGTAATAAATTTTTAAGTAGAATTGCTGAATTCAGAGGGCAAAACATTTTTATGGTGTTTCTTGAAATGTCCCGATGAGTATTTAGGTGGATGAGTAGGCAGTACATTTTGAAATTCAAAAGCAGCAACCTTGCAAAGGTGTAAAATTTGGCTGTTTCTTTTAAGTGCTGTTGTTTTCTGCTCCCATTTATGATAACAGGATGTAGAAGAAAGTTTCTTTTGTATTTAAGGTGTCTCAACAAGCAGCGAAGTGTATTCCAGCAATGGTGTGTCCTGAACTTACGGAACAAATCCGCAGAGAAATAGCAGCCTCTCTCCATCAGAGAAAGGGAGATTTGGCTTGCTATTTTCTAACTGACCTTGTGACATTTACATTACCAGCAGGTAACTCCAAAAATTTTATGTGGAAAGAAATTGTATTTTAGTATGTGTGGGTGTATAATGTGTTGTTTTTAAGGATCTGTGGCTTTATAGTTCTCTTGTATTGGTCACTCAACACAAGCAAGTGCTTTCTGGAAGCACTTTCTGGAAGAAAAGATTGTAATTGCTTTCCTTGTATTTGTGCATTTTAAACATTTTCTAGTTGTTTAAGAGGTAGAGAAACAGGGAAGTAGAACTGAAGTTGGTTCCCTTCTACTGGTCTGAAAAGTGGTGGCGGCTGAAAGGCATGTGCTAGCTGCTTCCATGGTTGGCCTCGGCAGGAAGTTTGCATTTAGGATCCTGAGCTGGCAATTGAACACAGACATTCTGGTAAGGGACTGGGATGTCCTGTAAGCTGCCAGACTGTATGCTCACTCCTGAAGATCCTGTATATTCATTTGTTTTCCTATTTTAGAGTAAGTTTCTTTTTAAGCTCTATTTTTTTTTTTTTTTAAAGATTTATTTTTATTATTTTTTCATTGGCAAGGCGGATATACAGAGAGGAGAGACAGAGAGGAAGATCTTCCGTCCGATGATTCACTCCCCAAGTGAGCACAACGGGCCGATACTATGCCGATCCGAAGCCAGGAGCCTCTTCCAGGTCTCCCACGCGGGTGCAGGGTCCCAAAGCTTTGGGCTGTCCTCGACTGCTTTCCCAGGCCACAGGCAGGGAGCTGGAAGGGAAGCGGGGCTGCCGGGATTAGAACCGGTGCCCATATGGGATCCCGGGCGTGCAAGGCGAGGACTTTAACCACTTGCGCCACCGCGCCGGGCCCTTAAGCTCTATTTTTAAATGTTCTCCTTTTCCTACTTATTACTTTAAAATAAGATAGCTATTGCCTGTATGGCATAGGACTTTTTTAGAAAAATATTTATTTATTTTTTTGGAACATGAGATATACAGAGAGGTAGAGAGACAGAAGATCTTCCATCTGTTGATTCACTCCCCAAGTGGCTGCAACGGCCAGAGCTGAGCTGATCTGAAGCCAGGAGCCTGGAGCCTCTTTGGGTCTCCCACATGGGTAAAGGTCCCAAATCTTTCAGCCATCCTCCACTGCTTTCCCAGGCCACAAGCAGAGAGCTGGATGGGAAGTAGAGCTGCCAGGATTAGAACTGGCGACCATGTGGGATCCTGGCGCGCATAAGGCGAGGACTTTAGCTTCCAGGCCACCACGCCGGGCCCAGGAGATAGACTTTTCATGGTAGAATCAGGTTACTTGAATTAAAGGTATTAGACATTCTGATGAATATGTCATTCATTTCCACTCTGCTGTATTTGAGAATCAGGTTTCACATTCCAGTTACATGGCAATTGAGTGTCTTTTAGGATGCTTTTTGTCATTTGGCATTGATAAATACACCAACCATCTAAAGTTTCTGAATAAGAAGTTTCCATTTGGGATTTACTTGTTTTGAACTTTTATTTTTTGCTTTTTTTTCTATCGTATTTTTATAAAAACCAGTTTACTTATTGGAAAAAAAAACCAGTTTTCTTATTGGAAATCAGATATGCAGAGAGGAGGAGAGACAGAGAGGAAGATCTTCCATCCCATGATTCACTCCTGAAGTGGCCGCAATGGCCAGAGCTGAGCTGATCTGATGCCAGGAGCCCGGAGCCTCTTTGGGTCTCCCACGCAGGTGCAGGGTCCCAAGGCTTTGGGCCATCCTTCACTGCTTTCCCAGGCCACAAGCAGGGAGCTGGAAGGGAAGCAGGGCTGCCAGGATTAGAACGAATGCTCATATGGAATTCTGGTGCATGCAAGATGAGGACTTTAGCCACTAGGCTACTACACTTGAACCTCTGAATTATTTTGAAACAAAGTTTGATAATAAAATAAAAAAATTTTAAAGATTTACTTAATTTTATTGGAAAGTCAGATATATAGAGAGGAAGATTTACCGTCCAATGATTCATTCCCTAAGTAGCTGCACTGGTTGGAACTGTGCCGATCAGAAGCAGGGAGCTCCGTCTGGCCTCTCATGCGGTGCAGAGTCTCAAGACTTTGGATTGTCCTCGACTGCTTTCCCCGGCCACAAGCAGGGAGCTGGAGGGGAAGTGGGGCCTCTGGGATTAGAACCGGTGCCCATATGGGATCCTGGGCAGACAGGATGAGGAATTTAGCCACTAGGCCACCAGGCCAGGGCAAAGAATTAAAAATATTTTACATTACAAACCCCTGCACACATTGTACAGGTACCTTTTTTTCCCCAAAAATATGTCTTTCAACTTTTAGTGGAAAGGGAATTATTTTAGTTATTATTCAATGCTAGCATCAAGTTTATTAAGTTATGAGACCCAAGATCTCTTAAGTCTACTGTTTCTTTGTAGATATTGAAGACCTGCCCCCAACAGTCCAAGAAAAATTATTTGATGAGGTGCTTGATAGGGATGTTCAAAAAGGTAGGCATGGAAATCTGAGTATGATTTACTTTGTCACTGAGCTTTCGTTTTGTTTTGTAAGGTACACAAGTTTCATGTGTCAACTTTTACTTAAAGATATAGAGACCTTAAGAGCAAAGTCAGAGTTTATTCCTAGCTTTTGGCTGTGATTGTGCACAAACAGAGGTATAAAATTTTAGAATGAATGTATTTTGGTTTTTAGCATTTTAAGAATGTAATATAATGAATCTGAAGATTTGAGTAAATTATTCTATAGCCATTTTGTTTCAGCTGCTCAAAAAGTTTCTTTTAGTTGATCAAATTTATTTAGGTTTTTTAGTGAGTTATGTGTCAGTGAATTTATTAGTAAATTATATGTTCTTTAGTATATATATGCTGCCGAAGCGAGCATGATGTATCAACCTTTTTAGATCTGGAAAGTAGATTTTCCTGCTACTGAATGCCCTGTACCAGGTGTGCAGATGCGTGCTATTTGCGTTTCTCCCAGAGTTAGAGGAAGAGTCTCCAATTATAAACTGGTCCCTGGAATTGGCTACACGTTTGGATAGTCGGCTGTATGCACTTTGGAACCGCACTGCGGGTGACTGCTTACTGGACTCAGTCCTCCAGGCTACCTGGGGCATCTATGACAAGGACTCGGTGCTGCGGAAAGCCCTGCACGACAGCCTGCATGACTGTTCACACTGGTGAGCACCCTCCCCTGGGCCAGGAAGGCACTTGCTGTATGATTTCCTTGCAGTGGTGGAATTTTTTTTTTGTTTCAGTGGTGTTTTCTTTGTTTTTTTCTTTCTTCCTTCCTTTCCTCCTCCTCTTTTTTTTTTTTTTTTAAAGATTTTATTTGTTTATTATTGCTATTATTTTTTTTTTGGAAAGGCAGATAAACAGGAGATACAGAGAAGATCTCTGTTTGCTGCTTCACTCCCCAAGGGACCACAATAGCTAAAGCTGAACGGGTCTGATGCCAGGAGTCAGGAGCTTCTTCCAGGTTTCCCACGTAGATGCAGGGTCCCAAGGTTTTAGGCCACCCTCTACTGCTTTGCTGGGCCCTGAGCAGGGAGCTGGATGGGAAGCAGAACAGCTAGGAAATGACCTGACACTCATACAGGATCCCCGCACTTGCAAGGCAAGGATTTAGCCACTAGGTTATCACGCCCGGTCCTTCAGTAGTATTTCCAATGGAAACTTAAAAAAGAAAGTTTTAGTTTGTGCGTTAAGACAACTTTGAGCATCTCTGTAGTTTTATATCTTTTGAATTTAAGAAGTGAAATATTTAAAACATTAAGATTTAAACATTCTGTCTATAAAATAGAAACCAGAGGGCCAGTACATAGGCCCTGTCCTACACTCTGCAGTGCCTGGATCCCATACGGGCGCCAGTTTGTACCCCAGCTTCTCCACTGCTAATCCAGCTCCCAGCTTATGCCTTGGGAAGGTAGCCGAGAGTGACCCAAGTCCTTTTTTCCGCTGTTCCCGTGTAACATGAAACCCAGAAGAACCTACTGGGCCCTGGCTTCAGATTGGCTCTGCAGTGACTGTTGTGGCTGTTTAGGGAGTGGATCACAGATGCAAGTTCTCCTCGTGTCTCCTTCTGTCTGTGACTCTGCCTTCCGTCTGCTGGTCAGCTCCCCTTATGGCTGCAGCAGCTGGAGCTGGGTTGGCTTAGAGTCAGGAGCAAGTCTGAAGCTCTACCCAGGACTCCATGTTTGGGACGGCATGGGCCGCACTACTTAGACTGCATCTTCTACTGCCCTCCCATGTACGTTAGCAGGCAGCCATATTGGAAGCAGAGCAGCTGCCACTCAACCTGTTCCCCGTGTGGGATGTGAGCATCAGAGAGCAGCTTAACGTGCTGCATAGCAACACTGGTTTCTAGTCATTTCAAAATTTGTACTATTTCTGCTACTTCAGTGTCAAAATGTGGCTTTTCTTTCTGTAACTTTTGAATGCTTTACAAATTTCAGAGAACTGCATTGCCCTAGTGTCCTCATGTCTTTTTTTAATTCAAGAAAAGATATAAAACTACAGAGATGCTCAAAGTTGTCTTAACGCACAAACTAAAACTTTCTTTTTTAAGTTTCCATTGGAAATACTACTGAAGGACCGGGCGTGATAACCTAGTGGCTAAATCCTTGCCTTGCAAGTGCGGGGATCCTGTATGAGTGCCAGGTCATTTCCTAGCTGTTCTGCTTCCCATCCAGCTCCCTGCTCAGGGCCTAGCAAAGCAGTAGAGGGTGGCCTAAAACCTTGAATGGTGTTGCCAGTGCTTGAGGTTACATGAAATGCATAGGCATATCCTAAATCTAGGAGACAGGAATTTTGTTTCCTTGAGGAAGATCTAGTACCTCAGCTAGCCTAAGTGGTAAGAGCTTTGAAAGTGATTGCAGTTGGCTTGATACGTGTTGTGGAATTTGTCCGTGAGAACAGAAACATCACTCCCCTGGCCCATGCCTGGTGAGTTCTCGCAGGTGCCTGCTGAGGCCACGCGTTCTCGAGAATTTGTACAGGAGAGCAGTGTCTACTTTCTTGAGATTGGAATCACAGTGTATTGGAGTACAAATTTGTGACAACTTAAAAAAAATACAAGCTCCCTGACTGGCAGATCTGGACAGAGCCAGACTGGATTTCTAGGGCAAACAAGCTGAGGAGCTGGGTGATTTCCTTCATCTTGTCTTTGTCCAGGAGAGAGGGTTTGGGGTGTTTGACTGAGGTGGCTGTGCCAAAATTATCTGGTACTTGAGCAAGAACAAGGACGTAGTCAAGTGGTTCATTAAGGCAGGTAAAGCCTTGTACCATTAAGCATTCATTGTAACTCTCTGGATCACAATGCATGTCCATGCTCCAACACCCTGATGAGGTTTGGGCTGTCTGTAGGTGTGACCTATGCCTGCAGGAAGAAGTGGTTTGGTTTTTGTGCTGGTGGCTTCATGTCTGCCCTTGCTTACTGGCATTGCCCTGTCCCGTGAATGTACTCTTCAGGGGTTGCTGATGTGTAGCTGCTCAGCCAGAAAGTCACCTCTGGACTTTCCTACCAGTTAGCAAGTCTTTAAAAAGGCAGCCTGGTAGGCTACATCCTGCTTTGTTGTAAATTCCAGCAGGTCACAGTTTGTTAGCATAGTGGCCAGTCAGAGCTGCCTTGTGGCTTAGGCTCTCCAGGGTTCCCCAGAGCTGGCAGTGGGTCATCTTGAGGGTTGGCGATGGAATGGAACTGGTGGTGGTCTTTTGAGGCCCCTGCAGTCGGCACAGGGTAGGATAGCAGCACTGTAACCTGAGGCAATAGAAGGATCCTGAGCTGCTCTTTCAGACAGAAGCTGTGCACTTATCCTTAGCATCCCCAACTCTACGAGGCAAGGGCAGAGAGCTGGCACATGGATAAGTGTCTCACAACCTGACACAGGTAGGCAGCACGCCCTCTAATTCTGGCAGTAAGATGTGTCTGCCTTGCGGTCTACAGTGCAGGTGTAGGAAGCTGGGCTGAGTGCTGTGATCAAAGAGGCCTTCTGATCGCATGCGCAGGAGGGCTGGGAATGAGGATTCTCCCCTGGGGCGAAGTGGTGTTGATTCAAGGTTCTGTGTGGATGGGCTTCTGGTGTGACTGTTGACGGGTAGAATGAAAAAGTGAACAAGCATGGTCCTGCTGTAGGCCAGGAGAGCAGTGCACTGTCAGCCGTGCTGGGCTCGGGTGCCCTTTGTGTGGAGTGCAGAGCAACTGGAGGGATGTCGCGGCATGTGAAAATGAGAAGAGTGGTTTTTTTTTTTTTCCCCTTTAAATATATAAATCCTATTGCCATCACTCCAGGATATTCTTTCTGGGGTTGGCACCATGGCATAGTAGGCTATGCTTTTGCCTGTGGTTTGAGTACTGGTTTGTGTCCCAGCCATTCCTCTTCTGATGCAGCTCCCTGCTTATGGCCTGGGAAGACAGCAGAGAATGGCTTATGTCCTTGGGCCACTGCCACCTTTGTGAAAGACCTGGAGAAGGCTCCTGGCTTCAGATTGGTTCAGCTCCAGCTGTTGTAGCCATTTGAGGAGTGAACCAGCAGATGGAAAATCTCGGTCTCCCCTCTGTGTAACTCTGCCTTTCAAATAAAAATAAATAAATGTTTTAAAAATCAAAAAGTTCTTTTTATGTTTGTGGCTGTACTGTTAATTACCCCTAAATTTGAACTGATTCAGACTGTCAGAACTGGACATGTACATGGTACTTTTCTTTCAGACATGTCATTCCAATTTCTCAAGGGCTGAAATGGAGCAATTAACGTAAACAAGGAGAAAATTAGAAGTGGGTCTTGATAAATTACTCTTTTTTTGGGTTACCTTAACTTGCTACAAATACTATTTGGAAGTAATTAGCACATACTTAACTATACACTCCACAAATATGTGGTTAATGCTTGGGCTATCACCTGGGAAGTTTTATTTGCAATCAAAATATTAAAAGGCAAGATGAAAATGTCTGTTCAGGGCATTTCATACTATTTCGTGTCAAGTGTTGGTTCAGTCATGCTGTAGCATGTTGCAGCATTTTGCTGCTTTGTTACTAAATGATACCTCCCTCTGCTGAACCGATATCGGATATCGGCCACGATTTAGTCATCAGTTGATGAACATTGAGTTGTCCCCACTTTTGGCTGTTAGAACACTGCTTAGATAGTTCACATAACAAGTTTCCATGGGAAAATGTTTTGCTTTTTGTAGTTACCTAGAAGTGAAATTGCTGGTCATGTGGTAACTGTTTAGCATTTTAAGAAACCTCTAGATTGTGTGTGTGTATTTATTTTAAGATTGACTTATTTTACTTGGAAAACATAAGTTACAAAGAGAGAGGGAGAGACAGAGATCTTCCAGGCACTGGGTCACTCCAAATGGCTGCCTCAGCCAAAAGTGGGAGTCATGAGCTTCTTTTGGGGTTTCCGACATGGGTGCAGGGTCACCAGACTTGGGCCACCCCCCTTTCTTTTCCTAGACCATAAGCAGATGTTGGATTGAGAACTGAAGCAGCTGGGACATGGACCATAGCCCGTATGGTTCTGGTGCTTCAGGAGGGTTATTCTGCTTGGTCATTCCCGGTATTGCTGGGTTACTGAAATGGCCAGGGTTCAGCCAGGTTGAAACTGTGCGTGACTGTGTGTGTTCTTATGTGCAGGGCAGCCTGGCACTTGGGAACCCGAGCTATGTCTCCCACATGAGTGACAGACTGAGCTACTTTGAGCCATCTGTGCTGGTTTCCAGGGTTCCAGGGTTCCAGGGTTCCAGGGCTCCAGGGTCTCTGTATGCAGGAATCTGAAGCTGGGAGCTGGACTTGGGCAGTGAATCCTTGGTGGTGTTCTAAGGCTAAATGCCTGTCCTTGAGATACTTTTAATTTGAATAATATATTGCAAACCTGGTGAAATATTCACCTGATTACAATAAATGAATGATTGGAATGTTTAGTGTGATGTTTATATAGTTTTTTTTTTAAAATACTTTTTTAAGGTTTTACACACGCTGGAAAGATTGGGAATCCTGGTATTCTCAAAGCTTTGGTTTACATTTTTCCTTGAGAGAAGAGCAGTGGCAAGAAGACTGGGCGTTTATCCTCTCTCTTGCTAGCCAGGTAAGGATGCTTCAGTCTTTGTGGCTGTTAGAAGTAAACGGCTTCGACTCATTGTTCCTTCATTCGCCTGAACGGCGCAGGAGACAGGGTGGTACCTTCTGAGTGAAGAGATGGCCGAAGTAAGTCCTCACCGCCGGAGCAGTGAGAAGCTGTCCAAGGGACAGTGGTACTGAGATGGTTTGCGGCATGTACATAGCCAGAGTCTGCTTATCCCTGGCACAGGAGACCTTAGGCCTCTTTGCCTGCGCACAGTGGAGACTGGCCCTGTGTCTTATGGTGGGGACAGAGCAGGATCGTGCCTCCTAGGAGGAAGATCAAGTGGGCAGTCTTCAGAAATGATCCCCACGGGGAGGCTGTGTTTATTGGACTTTATAGTTAGTCAACAGCTTCTTTAACTTGCCATTTACCTTTTCTTAAAAATGGATTTAGATACATGTATTGTTGGTTGTTGCAAATCATTTTCAGGAGTGGTAGTGAGCCTTTTTCTCTTTTGTTCTGTGCAGCCCGGAGCAAGTTTGGAACAGACACACATCTTTGTACTTGCACATATTCTTAGACGACCAATTATAGTTTATGGAGTAAAATATTATAAGAGTTTTCGAGGAGAAACTTTAGGTTATACTCGGTTTCAAGGTAAGCATAGAGGAAGGACCTCTTGCCTGGCTGGGATAAGACGAGTGGCCCTGAATGGCCAGGAGCTGGGTGCACTGGAACCCTGTGCTTGTCTTCCCTTTCTCCAGGGGTGTACTTGCCTTTGCTGTGGGAACAGAGTTTTTGTTGGAAGAGTCCGATTGCTCTGGGCTATACGAGGGGCCACTTCTCTGCTCTGGTCGCCATGGAGAATGATGGCTATGGCGGCCGAGGTGCTGGTGCTAACCTGAACACCGACGACGATGTCACCATCACATTCCTGCCTCTGGTCGACAGTGAAAGGAAGTTACTGCACGTACACTTTCTTTCTGCTCAGGAGGTAAGCAGCATGTGCCTCCTGCTCATTGTGTTTAGTAATGTACCAGGTGGTGACCCACAGTGTCCTTCCAGTGTGGCCTTATCTGTGCTGCTCGTCATGTTTCTGCTTGTTGTCATCATTGCCACTTGTTGTAACTACTGGTCAGATTATGAAATTTACCCTTTTCAAAACTACCATGTGGAACTATAACAAGAAATGCAGTCGTAGGGTGGCGGGGGTGGGGTGCCGAGAGTGAACCAGGGGCAGGGCCAGGCAGCCAGGGAAGCCTGGCTCCTGGAGACACCTGCAGAGTGGCAGAAGGCAGACGGCTCAAGGCATTGAAGAGATGAACAAGACAAGGTGAACCAGGTGATGAATGTGTGGGGGAAAAACCTCCCACAGACTTAGAAAAGGATTGGTCTTTTATTATTTAGTATACTGTAATGATCAGGAAATATTTATAATCAAGTAATAGAAAATAAACCCACATCCCTTGAGTTGTGGAACTTGAGCTGACCCCAATTCACTGTTGTAGACTTACCTTGTCATGTGTTTGAAGCTGTGATTGTTCTGGCCTTTTCTTTGCTAAGGATCAGCCTATTAGCATGCTTGCTTTTTGTTCTTAGAACAAATGACCTTCTCAGGGATTTTCTTACCTTCTAGCTTCCTATGAGGATCTTTAAAAATGTAATCAGACTAAACTAAGCTTAAATGACAAAACTGCTAAAAGGTTGGGGCCACATTGAGCAACTGTTGCTTGGCTGTCCTCCGCATTTTCCCGGCAGTTTTCTGACCCGCACTCCTTCCAAAGCTAGGTAACGAGGAGCAGCAAGAGCGCCTGCTCCGTGAGTGGCTGGACTGCTGTGTGACTGAGGGGGGTGTGCTGGTGGCCATGCAGAAGAGCTCGCGGCGGCGCTGCCACCCGCTGGTGACCCAGATGATGGAGAAGTGGCTGGACCGCTACCGGCAGATCCGGCCCTGCACTTCCCTTTCTGATGGAGAGGAAGATGAAGAGGATGAAGATGAATGAAAAGGACCCAGGCACCAGGTCTGCGCTGGCCCCAAAATGAGTGTGGTACTCCAGCAGAATGTGCGGCCCCACGTCCTGGTAGGACGTGCCCTGGAAGGCTCTTGTCTGCCCACACCCAGGGGGGTGCACCTGCTGCATGAGGAGACGGGACTTTGGTTGAACTAGAGTTTGTAAAAAACTAATTTTATTAAGACAGAACTTTTTTCCTTTGAAATTGTAAATCTGTCTATAAATGTAACGCATGTGGTTGTGTAAGACAGTGTGTACTAGGAGAAGCTGCAGCAGCATCTTCTGTCCCCGAGCAGCCTCTCCCGCATGGGCACTTCTACCGCACACGGCAGGAGACTGTTCCTCGCTTAGACCTCACACCAAGCCTCCGAGATTGGGAAACTTTTGTACAAATTACCCACAGCAGAACACAAAAATAAACAAGCATTTATTTGATTAATAACTTAGTTCCTGTTGTACCCATTCAAGTCAAATATTTAAGGAACAAACTTGAGCTAGTCATTTTCATTGCATTGAGCGAGCCTCACACAACCATCCCTCTGTCCTGAGTTTCTGTCGCTCTGCTCGTTCTGACAGCCCCTCTCATTAGGTCAGTACCTGTGTGGGAGTTGCCCAGAGGGTGGGTTCTGCTGCAGACTGAGCAGGCCCACTTGTCCCTGGATGGGTTCTGTGCGAGTCCACAGAACCCTGTGCAGGCCCTTGGGGGTCTTTCCTGTGCATCCCCGCTTAGGCTCATTGGGGACACCACAGTGCAGAATAAAGATCTGAAAAATGCAATGAGATGGTACATGCGTTGTATGATTAATTTCTGTGAAGTTTGATAATTTTTGCATGTTTGTTAATTGTGGCCATCCCTATTTAAGGTTAAAACTATAATCTTGGGCAGAAAAAAAATTATGGAAAGCAGCATTTTACCACTTCAGGTGTACATCCATTACTGGGTAAAAGTGTCAGATCTCAGGAGCTCAACATGTGGCTTCCTGATAGAAGCACTTTGTAGAATGTTTACGTGGCAAGGCATTGCGGAAAACCCCAGTCCCTCCTCTCAAATACGGAAGTATATGTAACCCCGGCCTGACATGGGCATACTGGAAACGCAGAAGCACCCATCGCTGTCACTGCTTTAGTGCGGGCAGAAAAAAAACAAACACAAAACAGCCTGATTGCACAGAAATGTATTTTGACAGAACATGTTCATGTCCCAAATGGCCATTTCCTTACATATGGCTTCTACTTGGTTTGCTTTCCTTTTGGTCAGTAATAAATTTCCTTAGAAGGTTAGTTTCATGACTACTTGGCCTAACGTCTGTAGTAACCTTTCTCCATTAGTGGGCAGAGATTGCCAGCTAAGCAAAGTCGGCCCTCCCAACTGAAGAAGCTAAAGAGGAATGTTAGAGGGAAGAGATGTCCATCTCGGGGTCTGCACTGCAGCTGTGCCTGGGCCTCACGGCTCGGAACTTGGCTGCTGCCTGTGTTGGGGGTCTGGTGAGTGTCCTGTCCCCCGAAGGCCCTTCTATTTATTTACTTATCCTCTGTGAATGATCCTGACCCCAGGTGGTTTGACAGGGATAGCATTCTTCCCTGTGGGAAAGAATTAGGTGGATGGTTCCATCTCTTGAGCTTCATACAGCTTATGTGGCTCTCACAGCAGACGGGCCCTTAAGACATTTTATGGGGGGGAGAGGGGGAGATGAATTAGTGTTATGGCAAGCTCTTGAACCATGGAACAAAAAAAACCAGCCATAATTAATGTCCCAAGATCTGTGAGTCCATTTCATGGCTGGGTGACAGAAAAGAATGTGGTTTGAGTGCCGCTGGAGGGTGATGTCCAAATTGTGTGGACTTACCATATGGTTCTTTTCTAGGGAGAGAACAGTGTGGTACTTTCTGTGGTGACCTGTTTTCCTTCCTTGGAGTCAATGTGTTTATACAATCATTTCCAACCAAGATCTAATTAAAGCCCAGGTGTGCTGTGGACCTGGACCTGCCTCTCTGTGTTTCTGATGCTTGCATTAGGGTGCACTTGTGTCCTGGCCAGAGGGCTGGCAGGTCAAGAGTCCTGCTGGCCTCCTCCCTGAGAGCGTGTCTAAGGGCTCAGTCAGGATCGGCTGCCACCTGCAGTGAGTCAGGAGACAAGGGCAGACTTAAAATGGGAAGGGATGGATAAGGGGAAGGTTCAAAGGGAGTTCATACCGGAATTTCCAGACTGGCTTTACACCAGAAAAAACCTCTAATAAAATGGATTTAATGCTATTTAAGAAGACCTGTCACATCAACTTGAAGCTCTCAACTTACAGAAGTGGCTGATGTTAATATTTTGCAAGACAGTAAATACCACAGTTGTCAGGTTCTTGACCCAAAAGATGCGGTTTCCCTGCCTGAATTTTGCCATTTGGTAAATTAAAACCAAAACTGGAGCTGACTTAATGAGGAGTTTTCCATTCACTGCCTTGCCATGAGGTGTCCAGTCACGGGCAGCACAGATGCCACCCTGGAGTGACCACGCAGCTGCTTGTCAACATCTCAAGTAGAGAACTGTTTACAGTAGTGAGATGTATTTGAATTTCAGAACAGAAATTTTAATTTGTTTTTATTGAAAACTGCACTGAACGCTAAATGTCCACCTTTACAATAAACAAATACAGTAACGGTAACTCACACTAAACAAAGCATTTCTGACAGCCATTAGTTTTCTGCTTGGGAGTTTTAAAGTTTTTCTTTTGTCACAAAAACAGGAATGTACCTATACAAAGGCTGAAAATAGGCCAGCTTTTCCAACAAAAGGTGATGAGTCACCAAAGACCACGAGTAGGACATGAACTAGATACGAACCTAATAGGACGTGTTAAAATCAGTCACATCTAATAACACATCTGCAGTGTTCTTGTAGAAAATATCACGTGAAGAAAGAAGACTTTATCAATGTCTAAAAAAGTGGGTTTGTTCCTAGACAATCTGACAAGTCACCATAAAAAGTGTTTCCTGAGACGTAAGGAAATGCAACATTATTCTTCCTGAACCCTTTCAGTTCAAGACTTTCCACTCAATAAAATAGCTGAGGATCTGAAACTGAGAAAATATATTTGAGTACAAACAGCTTGTGAAACTTAGTATTTTTTTCTTTTTTGCATCATCAGAGGGTGTTCCTGAACTCACAGCCGGCTTGCCCGCTGAGTCTGCAGTTCAGCCGAGAGACTTCATCCAGGAGCCCGCACCATCTTCCGTCCTGTGCGCGCAGATGTCCAGCTCAGGCAGTGTTCTTGCCGTCTTGTTAGGGATTCCATCTTCCTGTGATCCAGAGGAGGGAACGCGCCCTGTACACCGCAGGGACCAGAGTTGCAGGGTGGGGATTTCCTCAAGATTTTTTATTTGATGTTTGGAACTTTTGATGCAACATTGTAGAGCAAGGTGCTCAGGGCCTGCTGTGCCCCAGGGACTGATAAAGGAAAAAGCTCTATTCTTGGTGATTTGATGCACAGATGAAAAACTTATAACATACAATAACAGAAGTTGGTCGTAAATAAGTCACGTTGTAGTCTTTCAGCGCTTCTGTAAGCAGACATCTTCCATCTTCTAGCTCTCGTTTTAACACTGCAACGTCAATGATGCCTATATGTCCAGGTTCAGACGATTCCTTGCTTTCACGGTCTCTTGGTCCCGAGTATGTCCAAATGTTCCACCGTCCTGCATTCGCTGCTATTGCTCGTTGGGGTGCTCTCGATTGTCCCCATGTTTTGTGGGCTGGTTGGGTGAAGGAGCTTGGGAGGGGTGGGCCACGGTGGGGAGGCTGTGAGTCCCGGGGATGCCCCCTGGAAGGATCCCTTCCATGGCCGCCGGGAGCCCCCCTGGGGTCACACCCACGAGGCCTGGTGGGTATCTGTGAAATACACAGAGGAGTGTTAGTGCCATCCTGGGAGCTGCTGGCAGGGCACCTGGCCTGCTTCCATCTTCCCTGTGCTTCCTCCTCACGCTCACAGCGAGGAGGTGTTCCATTTAGTTCCCCGACATCTGAGCATACTGCTCAGTGCCTGTTGCCACTGTACTGTGCGTGAGAAACAGCCCATGCAGATGAGGCCCCCAAGCGCTCAGCCTCACTGTGTGACATGATGGCTCCTTAACAGACCTTGGCTGTACATTCTCAGGAAACCAGTGTGCCCTGCTGCCCCCTCATAGGTGAAGTCTCACCCCAAAGGTGGTGATGCCAGGGAGATGAGGCGTTTGAGTCCTTACCTCCCTCACTTTTTCTCCCCCGTGTGAGGTGTCAGCTGCAGCCCTGGGAGGCATGCTGCAGTTGAAAGCCATGCCTCAACTCACCAAGACCGCAGCTGAACCTGCCCCAGGCCTGGAATGGGGAAGAAGAATAGGGGTGGGCACACTGGCTGTTGGGGAACCAGCAGGCCCTGCTGCACTAGCCAACTACAGTGCTCTGCCCCAATGTGGCTCAGCAGTCAAGACATACCTATGAAGTAGGTGCTTTTGAGTGATTTGTTTTAAAGATTTATTTTTATTGCAAAGTCAGATATACAGAGAGGAGGAGAGACAGGAAGATCCTTAGTGATCACAACGGCCGATGCTGTGCCTATCTGGAGCAGGGAGCAAGGAACTTCCTCCAGGTCTCCCATGCAGGTGCAGGGTCCCAAGGCTTTGGGTCGTCCTCAACTGGTTTCCCAGTCCACAAGTAGGGAGCTGGATGGGAAGCGAGGCGACCATATGGAATCCCAGCATGTTCAAGGTGAGGACTTTAGCCACTAGGCCACCGCACTGGGCCCAGCTTTTGAATGATTTTTATTGGCATTGGCAGTTACCAACACTTTTAAGGAATGACATCTTGGGCGCCCAGCCCAGGGGAGGCAGGGAGGGGTTCTGGCACTGCTGCCTCCGAAGGACTCAGCAGGCAGAGGTGACTATGTGACCTGGATATGGGCGGGGCAACAGGTGTTCCAGTTACCACCTGAGCCACCTGTCCAGCACCTTCCGCCCACAGGCGGGGCCGTGTGAGTGGGAGGCTACTGGCTTCTCGGGTCTAGCAACTGGGGGGGCCGTGCGACAGGCAGGTCCCTCAGCAGATACGCCTGAAATGTGCGTGCGCCCAGCAGACAAATGTTTTCCTCCTGGAGCCCAGGCTGCCGCAATGACTTTCACACAGAGCAGTCCTACTGAGTCCTCCGGGGAACAGCAAACCTCGTACATAGTGTCTGCCTGCCTCATTCTTTCGGAAAAATGGCAAGTCAGCAGGACTTGCCTGTAGCATCTTTATAAATCTTGGAACTCAAAAAAGGCCTTGGGGGCCCCGGCCAGTAGCCTTGTAGTTAGGTTCTGGCCTTGACACACCAGGATCCCATTTGGGTGCCGGTTTGTGTCCTGGCTGCTCTACTTCCATCCAGCTCCTTGCTTGTAGCCTAGGAAAGCAGTCAAGGACGGCCCAAAGCCTTGGATCCTGCACCCGCATGGGAGACCCAGAGGAAACTTCTGGCTTAGGATCGACTTAGCTCAGCTTTGGCCACTGCGGCCACTTGGGGAGTGAATCAGTAGATGGAAGATTTTCCTTTAAATCTGACTTTCCAGTAAAAATAAATCTTAAAAAAGATTTTGGCTGGAAAAGGAGTTGCTGGCACTTTATGAACAGTCCCTCCCACCTGGTGTTGAACCCATGCCTTTCGGATGCCTAACCCCAGCCGGCTCTCCAACTTCCGCTATATTTGAACCATAGATTTTGCACCAGGTTAGGTGGATTTCTCCAGTCTGGCCTCTTGCCTCCCTCCCTAAGGAGGCATGCTGAACTGTCAGTTCCTCTTCTCACCTGTATGTGGCGCCATTGAGCTCGGGATGAATAGCTTGCTGATCTATTACTGACCATGGAGCCGAGGTAACAAAGAATTCTTTGTTGACACAGTTTCTTAAGCTTTCTGGAATGCGACCTAGAGTGAAATTATGACAACCGATCATCACATGTCGTACAAGGGCACCAAGTGTCCCCCGCTGCTGGAGGGACAGCCTGTGGCCAGACCTGAGGATTGTGCCGAGACCAGTCTGGTGCCTGCATACTGTGGGCTCACCTGTGATGGCACGGCGGATCTCGGTGGCCGCGGCCTCCCTCATCTCCAGGGAGGCTTGCTCGCTGTACCAGGCCGTGTGTGGGGTGCAGATGAGGTTCGGGGCATCTTTGAGCGGACCCTGAGCAAAGCTGCATGGAATGGAGAGGACAGTGTGAAGGGCAGGGACAGCTACTGCAGTGGCATCCCTCAGTAGCCATCCCTACTGGACGGTGCAGCCAGAGAACCTCGCTGGAAGGCTGGGTGGCCTCCCTAACAGGTCATGGGTACAGTAAGGCCATATTTGCTCTTGCCTAAAATGAAGCC